TGGTTTAAATGTATCAAAATGACATCGTTTTGAGTGTAAAACGATATCGTTTTTATACATTCGAGTCATTCGAACCACATAATTTTGAACTACCAAACATTTTTCTTAAAAGAATACATATGCATTAATGATGATGCAGAAGAAGCCACCACCATGAAGAGAGGGAGGCACACCATGTTGTGGAACCATGTACCATGTGATTTTATGTTAGATGGTTTCCTCCATGTGGAATTGTGGTTGTTTCCTTACTAAGCATTATAATAATGTCCCCTGTAATATCACTAGTGCTTTACAAAGCATTTCCAATGACTTTGTTATTCATAAAAAAATAAAAAATAAAAAATAAAAAATAAAAAAACTTACATTTTTGGTCAATTGGCTACTTTATGAAATGGGCAACTTGGCTAGCGATTCATAGTTCATTTTTTTTTTTTTTTGGTGGGTATAATCCACCCCCATCTTACAAACAGTCAAATGTGAATTGAACCGTTTCACTCGTCTTTCTTTCCTCATCACGTGTTGCATGATTCTACTGTGTTTTTTGCAATTGACTAGGTGGACAGCTGACTAGAAAAGAACTTTGATTCGCCCAATAATAGACCGATGTGCTTATTTTTCTTTAAATGTTTAGGACAATTACAAAAAATAAAATAATTAAAGTTTGAGAGTTGTAATAAAATAAATTCTGAATTTTAATTTTATCAATTTAAAATTTAATCTTTTGATTTGCTTTCAACTTAAATCATTTATCTATTTTTGTTAAGCAAAATCGACAGAAAAATAAAATTTTAGTTGTTAAACTCAATATAAGTATATATAAAATGTCTAACATATCATTTTTTTAATTGATTTTAATGACTAAAATACCATTTTTTCTATTGATTTTACTTAACGAAAATAAACAAATTGTTTAGATTGAAAACAAATCAAAACTTTTAGATTTAAATTGACAAAATTAAAAACTTAGGGTTTAATTTATTAAAAGGATCAAACACTAGGGTTTTTTTTTTTTTTTTGTGGTAATTTTTTTTGTCCCTTTGTTTTAATGTAATTTAAGCCACACGATGTGGTAAGAATTTAGAAAAATGAGAATCTCAAGATATGATTGTATAATTGGGAGTGTATTGAGATGAAAGAACATATATTTAAGGGCAAAAACAAAATATGTACATTAAAGTCTCCTAAATCCCCAGCTCTAAACTCCCTTCATGAAGAAGCAATTGATACCAGATTTTTGGTATAATTAGGTACACAGAGATCTTGCAAAGTGGGTTCAATTTCCAGCTTCTTAAATCTGTTAAATAAGTTTGTTTAGTATAATCTAAGCACACCAACCAGTTTTTGACTTTGAAATTTTAAAATATAGTTTTGTTTATAAAACTTTCACAGTTGCATAATGCCAAACACTAGGTCAAATACATCCGTCTTTAAAAAAAACACTAGTTCAAATACCTTAACACATTATACTAAAATATAAAATAAGGAAACTAAAGTCTTTGACATAATAATAGATTCATGTGCATTTTGACAACCCATCCAGAGATTCTTTCAAAGTCAGAATTGATGACACAATGCCAAACTATTCCCTTTGGTAGTTGCTTAAGAAAAAACAAAAATCTAAATCGTTTAATTGAAACAAATCTAAAAAAGTAAAATAAATAAATAAAATTCACACAATTTATAAAAAAAAAAAACTTAGAAAAACTTGGAATTATTACTTAGACATCATTGGAAGTAAAATAATGTTATCACATAAAACTGTCATTTCATACTTCTCTTGAATAATTTTTCATCTTTTACCAACAGGGTCTTTTGGGAAGTGGGTTATAATTCACTTCCCAGATTATAACTCACTTTCCTCTCTCACAAAAAGTATTTTATAATCAACTTTTAATCAGCTTTTAACTAAAAAACTGATTATAACCATCTTCCCAAAATAGTCTTTGTGGGTTGAAAGCGCTCTTTTGACCTTGCAATGTGCATAATTTATTGTCAAAAATTAGGAACCACTAGTTTAAAGAAAATTATACAATAAGCTCGAAATATCACGCTCATCGATTACTATTCATTATGTCCCTTACATTCTGTGTGAGTGAATTTCCGATCGCACTACCAACTCAGTATTCAGCTGGAGAGCACTGGCAGAATAGATAGCACCTGTCTGACCTGCAACAGAAAGAGAAGATTCCGGCGGTAGTTCGTCCAACCGGAGGCACTTCGACGATCAAGTCAGTATATCTCTCAAAGATAATCAATAGTGCTAAACTCACTGTTCAGAATATCAATTGCGTATCTTAGGCCCATCAAGGGTGCCTCTCTTTTATAGTTACCTCAATCTTAGTCCCCATAGAAGCCTAACTTTAATGGACTTCTACTCAGTGTTTATCCTAGATTCTTCAACAGATAAAGATAAACTCCATAAGAGTGTTATCTTTATCCATGCTAAAGTCCTTCCTCATTCTAGGACTCCTTGTGCCTTATCTGCTTATCCTGGATTCCGATATCTTCAGAGATAACCTCGGCCTTGCCGAGATCACCTCGGCGTCATAACCTGGACACATGGTACCTCGGCTGACACGTTGGCATCACTTTAGCTACGTGTTGGGACTCAGAAAATATATCCCCACAACTGCCCCCTAGGTTCTATTACCTCGGCATTGCCAGTTTGTCGGCTTAAAGTGTCTTAACCGAGGTCATCATACAGGCCGGCATGTCTTTTAAAGAACAAGAATTCCATTAAACTCCTTCACGCGTATGAGCTGTCATGCATCACAATTCAACCATTTCAGCCACGTGTCCTTCTCTTACTGGATCGTACTTGGTACGTGCTTCTAAATCGTCTTGCGTATGCGTGCGCCGTCTGACGCACACGTTGTTTTAGGCACATTAATTCTGCTTTGCCGCCGTTTCAAGTTTTAACAAAACTTTCTCCATCTCTTCGTCGCTTCAATTTTTGTTCAATCCTCTAGCTTTTTCACTCTCTCTAACTTTTCCCTTCAAGATCCTCCATTGCTCAAGCTTCAAAAGCTCTGCAACTTGCTCTGTTCATTTCCTCCAGCGAGGTTCTTGTCAATCTGTTCCGCTGCTGTTGTTCTTCTGACTTCGGCGATCTCAACATCGGTTTCTTTTTTCTGGTAAGTCACCATTCCTCATGGTTTTATTTCTTTTTGTGCTCCAAGAAATTTGCTTCATCATTAGTCGCCATTGCTGTTTTACTCAAATATTTGATTCATGAATCATGCATCTGAGCGTATTTATTTCACGATTTTGTTCTTTGCCCATGTCTTGAATACTCGCACTGCTCACAATTTTTCTGTACTTTTGCCACTGTTCTTGACCTTACACCCTTCGTACTTACAATGTTCTTGATAGTCCATCTTTGTTCTTGATTCTGAAACGCATTCTTGCTTTTCTGTTTTCCAGATTTCGCGCCTTCAATCTTCGTTTCCATAGATCTAGGTTTGGGATTTGCTTGTAGAACCCACAATTATTAGGAAAAACTAAAACTATTTCCTCAAATTCTTACCCAGCAAATTTTTAGGTTTTTGTAGAGATCCCAATAACCCTTTTAAAATACCTTCTTTCTGAAACCCAACTCCGCTAAGTGAAGCCGACGTTATGGGTATGTGGAAGCATAGGGTAGACACCCCGAACAAGTTAGATCACTTTAGGCGTGAGTTTGACATCCCTGTCAACGTCTATCTGAGGTTGGTTAGGGATGACGACTCCATCATGCCCACCACTGATTTCATTCCCCTTCCTATTGTGGCTTTCATCTAGTGCGGACTTTAGCTCCCACTCAATATCCTTTTTCGCGAGGTCTTCCATTTTTATAAATTGAACCCAATGCAGCTTGCCATCAACTCCTACCGAGTCATTAATGGCATCATAGCCTTAGCCAAACAAGAAAACGTTAGGGTTACCTTAGCCGATATCCAGTATTGCTACACCATGTGTGGCCTCAAAAAAGATACGGGCTACATTTACTACCTTAAGCCGAGGTCCACAGAGTACAAAATTGTCGCCGACCTCCCTGACTCCAACAAGGGAGTTGGGGATGACTATTTCATTACCTCGGGGAATTGGGAATTTGCTCCAGACGAGGACCTTCATTTCTACCCTATCCCTCAATCAGTTTTTGTAGAGGGCAATGATAAGAGCCCTATGTCCATATTTAACTTGTTTGTTTAAAAGTCTTTAATACTTTATTTGTTTCTAATGTCTGTTTTTCTTGCAGCACTTCCTCAGCCACAAAAAGGCTTTCGTCAGTCTTTCTTTCCCAGCAAAGGCTTGAGGAAACTATTAGATTTGTCAGTCCTCAAACGGAAGGCCCTCTTCTGCTTAATTTCATTCTTACGTATAAGTCAGCTCTTCCCGACATTCCCAAGAAGAAGAAAAAGAAGAAGAGTCTGTCTCCTCATTCTGCCATAACTCCTCAGACTACTTCCACATCTCGGCAAGATTAAGGATCGACCTCTGATCCAGCCGAGCAGCCGTCAACCTCAGCTCCTTATCTGATCCCAATATCCTAGCGCCAACGTTGGCAACGAACTGTTTTTGCTGCTGAAATGGGCCGCCAAAAAGCAGTTGCCAAGGATCTCTTAGCCAGCATCCCTGATTCAGTTGATGCCCAATCGGCGCCAACCCAGCCAAAGCCGAAGACAAAAAGGATAAAGAAGGCTCAACCAAAGGCAAAGGTGACTCAGATTGACACTGAGGACACCTTGCCGATCTCCAAACTGGTTGAGAGTGATAAGTCCCACTCTGCTGCGGAGAAGAGGCCTGCCGAGGCCCAACCATCCGAGTCTACCCAATCAAAGAAGTCGAGGTCATCCGCTACAACCACCTCGGGGTCTTCAAAGCGCGATGCCCCCTGGGCCCCCCAAATCACATTGGAAGATAAGCCAATTATAGCTAGCGACAGTGCCGACGACATTAATGTCCCCGTCGCCCTTAGTACCGCTCTGCTCCTTCCCGGCGATCTTGACTGAAACGCCGAGATGAGCGAATATGAGAACTATGCTCTGATGCCTCAGCTCTTTATTCAGGTAAGTCTCTTTATTGGGAAATTTTTCTTTCTTTCTCTTCATTACATACTTACAATATTTTCTAATAACTTTTGTTTACTTTCAGGCCATCCAACATGCTCATTCTTTCTTAGTACAATCTTTCCAGAACCAGGAGAAGCTGGCCGAGAAGAAGAAGGAGGTCTCCAGTTTGCAAAAGACTAACAAAAATCTACAGTCAAAGATGAAGACTTTGGAGGATCAGGCCGAGGCTGCCATCAAAGCTCAAAACGACACCGAAGAAAATGCAGACTTTGTTGAGGCCATCAAGAAGGTGCTTGAGGTCGAAAAGAAGGATGCCGAGGAGAAAACGGCCCAGACCCAAAAAGAATTGCAAGACGCTCTGGCCACAAAAGAGGCCAAAGTCAAGGTAGCCGATGAGAAGGGCTACAACAAAGAGGTGACCGATGTCACGGCGGACTATGAAAAGCAAGTGAAGCAGGCATGCAACAAGGGTTTTACCCTTGGTTGGATGTCTCTTCTAAAAAAGCTTGAAGTCCCCGAGGACTCGCCCCTCAGGAACGTCGACGCCATTCCTCTTCCATTCCCTCCAACTCCAACTCAATCCGATGACAACCCTGAATCTGAGGAGGAGGTTTTGGTGAGGAAGTCAAAAGACGCTGCTGGGGCCAAGTCCCCTTCTCTGAATGGGCAAGTTCTGGACTTGACTCAAGATGAGGAGGGTGAGGAGGTTCCCAAATATACTGCACCTCAAAAGGTGATATCGGACGTGCCTATTGCCGACAAGAGTCTTGATCAAACTTTGCAAGAAATTGACGCTGAGCTTACGGCTGAGAAGGCCGCCGAGATGTCTTCTCAGTAGTCCTCCGAGGTCCAAACCCAGCCTACTAATGATGCTGAAGAATCTTAATTTTGATGTCTTTTTCTTTTGTCTTTTGTACTTTTGTTTTTCTTCTTTTTGGAACAATTGTAAGCTTTTGGCCGACGTGCCTTTTTTGAATATTAATACAACTTTCCTTCTCTGAATGCTTGTATCTCTGTCTTCTCTTTACTGCTTTTACATGATTATACTTAGAATATTTTGTATATCTCTAATATATACTTCAATCTTTGTGCAACCTTCTTGGGGTGACACACCTTGGTTATACAAACTGATGATTTACCTCAGCAAGTACCCAAGTACTTTTCTTAGCATAACCTTGGTTTCAGCTTGTAAATTTTTTTATAAAATTTCAACAAGTGTTTAACCTTAGTCTAACTTCAACTTGTAAACTTTTCTCAAGTTTCAACAAGTGTTAAACATCATCTCGGTTTAACTTCAACTTGTAAAATTTTTTCTCAAGTATCAACAAGTGTTAAACATCATTTCGGTTTAACTTCAACTTGTAAACTTTTCTCAAGTTTCAACAAGTGTTAAACATCATTCTGGTTTACCTTTAACTTGCAAACTTTTCTCAAGTTTCAACAAGTGTTAAACATCATTTGTCTTCTCTCTGCCCTCTAATGTGAACCTAAGTTCCCCTTGAGTTCTCATTATACATGTATTCCAGAAATCACGTTACGTATCTTTATCAGTCATAAGTGTATAAACGAATAAATTAAGCTAAAACTTTATTTATTTATTTCGAAAAATGACAAAAGTGCAAAACTTTAATTATTTACTTTGGCAAACACCTCAATATTTGCTCTTATAGAAAGCTTCCAACTCTTTTTCCTCTTCTTTGGCTAAGCCCAAGCCGAGAAGAAAGAAACGTTTTTCATCATCTTCCTGGATGAGGATTTTTTTTAGTGTTTCTTCATTCTTCTCGGCTGGTTCCTTGCCGACATCCTCTAGGACCTCCACGTCCTCACCTTCGATCTCTGCCTTCTCTGGTTCTCGAATGCTGCAGGTGGATTTCATTGCTGCCATGGAGCAATTCTTTGCCTGTAGCTGATCTCCTTTGATTTCTTCAATCCCATGCTCTGTTGGGAACCAAAATAATTGATGCAATGTTGAGGGAACTGCCCCCATTGCATGCAACCATGGCCTTCCCAAAATGATGTTGTAAGGGGAGGGTGTGTCAATTATAGGAATGGCAACGGGCCGGGGCGGGGCCGGGGATCATACTCCCCGTCCCCGATCCCCGATGGCAGAAATGTCCCCGTCCCCGGTCCCGATCCCCGACGGGGAGTCTATCACCACCCCCACCCCCGTCCCCTAACGGGAATCGGGTTTCCCCGACCCCGGAAATTCCCCGGCCAAAATGAAAAAAAAAAAAAAAAGAAGATCTGAGCATATTATACTAGATTGAACAACATCATCATCAAATCCCAGATCTGAACCTATACCATACAGATATATTAAAATACCAGATATATTTAACACACCCATGATCTGAGCCTATCAACTTCAACACAGATTACCATCTAAAAAAAAAATTAAAAAAAAAACTTCAACACAGATTTGAGCATATCATCAGATCTGAGCCTATCAACTTCATCATCATCATCATCATCATCATCAACAACAACACACTAATGATGGAGGGACATGATCAGCAGTGATGGATGGAGAGAGAGAGAGATTGGAAACCCTAACACTCTCGCCAAAGACAGGACAACGAAGGAGGGAGATCGACGGTGATGAGAGGAGGAATGAGGGAGATCGGCGGTGATGGGAAGAGGGAGAAGGGAGATCGGCGGTAATGGGAGGAGGGAGGTCGCCGCCGATGCCGTGAGTGGTTGCTGCGCAAAGAGAGAGAGAGAGAGAGAGAGAGAGAGAGAGAGAGAGAGAGGCTGAGATATTAGTGAATGAGAGTGAAGGAAGACAACAAACATATATTATATATATGTGGAGAATATTCGGGGAATTGTTCGGTGATAATTCGGGCTGGGGCCGGGGCCGAGATATTTATCCCCATCCCCGGCCCGAAAACTGTCGGGGATTTAATTTTTAATACCATCCCCGGCCCTGTGGGGATAATTTTCGGGGAAAACCCGTTCTAATCGGGGTCGGGGGATCGGGTCCCCGTCGGGCCGGGTTTAAATTACCATCTCTAGTCAATTACAGTGAACTCTGTTATTATCTTCCTGTTGCCTACCTATACCTCCAAGCTGGTTGTTCCTAGTGGCCATGTCGGCGTTCTATTGAACCTGACCATTGGGCTGTTGGATTGCTCCATATCGTCTGGGTGAAGGCCAAGCTCCTTGTAACATGGGGCGTACATGATGTCACAAGAGCTGCCTTGGTCAATCAAGATGCGCTTTACTTGGGATTCCTCAACCTGGAGGGATACTACCAAGGCATCATTATGCGGATGCTGCACCATCTCAAGGTCGGCTTCAGAAAATGACACTACTGGTCCTTGGCACTCCTCTGCTCGATGTCTCTTCTCCCCGACTTGGTAGACATGCTGCAAGTGCTTTACCTTCTAGGTCTCCCCCCTAATTTCATTCTCGTTAACCTTTGAGTGAATTACATTAATTACCCGAGGTCCTCCTACCTGAGGTTGCTGTGCTGAGGGAGGCGAAGCTGCTAGTGCCTGAGGCAGTCTTGCCTGTTCTTCTCTTGTTCTGGCCTCATCGACAAGGTCTCTCAGATGGCCTTGCATCACCAGGTCTTCCAAGTGTGTTTTCAGGGCTCCACAACCCTGAGTCATGTGTCCATCTTCATTGTGGTAAGCACAATGTCTGCCAAGGTTTCTTCCGATAAACTCTCCCCGTGCCCTTGCTAGTGTTCTGAAATAGGGTTAATTCTGAATTTGGTCCAGGGCTTTGTGAATTGGGATTCGGAACACAGTTGTCACTGCTTGTGTAGCCCTCAGTTCTGTCTCTTACTTGCTCAATCCATTGTTACCTCGGCCTCGTTTTGGCGAGCCGTTTCCTTTCTCTTGCTTTGCCTCCTTAGTCCCCGATGTATCTTCCTCGGCTCTGGCATACTTCTCGATTCTCGCCATGAGCTCTTCCATACTTTTTGGCAATGTCTTTGCCAAAAATTTTCGCAGTGGACAGTCGTCTTTTAGGCCGTTCTTGAAAGATACGACCGCCACCTCTTGATTACACTCTGGTATTCGGTTGAACATCTCATAGTACCTTTTTGCATAGGCCCTAGGGCCTTTATCCTTACTGATCTTCAGGGCCATCGATGCATCCACCCTTAATGGCTGCAGTTTGTTTGTCACGAACCTGGCCACAAACATCTCGGCTAGGCGTTCCTAGGTCTTCGCGCTTCCCTTCGGTAGTTTGTGAAACCAAGCTGATGCAATCTCCCTGAACGATGAGGGGAATATTTTGCAGAGCAACGGCTCGTTCCCACTATACAATGCCATTGAATTCAAGTATAATCCAACGTGGAAGTTGGAGTCTGATTTACCATCGTATATTTGAAACCTCGGCATACTAAATCTCTTCGGTGCCTCAAATTTGTTCAATTCTACCGAGAATGGTGTTCTCGGCTTAACAGGTGAAGTTACTTCGGCATCAGCATTATGTTGTTTCCTCTTGAGGTAATCTCTCAGGTCTTCTTTGCTCCACCCAGGGGCTCGGCTATCTCCCGACTTCAGTCTTTTCAGCATACTACTCTCAGTTTCGTTGTGGGCCCTTTTCGACCTTTCTCCATGAGTTGTGTCGAAGCACAACTCATGCCTTTGAACATGCCGATGTTCTTTGGGGTCTGCCTCTCTAGCTCGATGTGTCCTTTGTGACTCTTCTTTCCTCGACTCTCCTCGCCTAACCTCCCTGGAAGGCCGGTGAAAGTGATTTTCGCTTCTGGTGTGCTGAGGGGCTATTGGGATTGGCTTATACCCTCCTTTCTGGGCATTGGTCGTTGGAATCGGCGTGTCCTGCAACGGGTATAGTGGTTGCATGACATTACTTTGCGTCATAAAATTGACGACTGATTGCAGGTCTGCCAACTTGTTTGCCATCTCTTTCACCTCTTCGTCCCTCCGCAAGTATCTATCTTTCCATACTTGGAGGTCGTCCTCGTTGTAGTATCCGTTTCGATCTGGTTTCTTTGGTACGTCGCCATCCTGGCCGGCGTCTTTCTTGCCGTGATTCTGGTTCTGAGTCTTCCTTCACGTTTAGGTCAACGCGTTTTTCGTTCCCAGCAGCCGTTTCATCCCCAACCTTATCCTTCTGTCCATCACTGGCCATCTACTCTCATTTCTTTCCCACAGACGGCGCCAAATTGTGTGAGTGAATTTCTGATCACACTGCCAACTCAGTATTCAGCTAGAGAGCGCTGGCAGAATAGATAACACCTGTCTGACCTGCAACAGAAAGAGAAGATTCCGGCGGTGGTTCGTCCACCCGGGGGCACTCCGACGATCAAGTCAGTATATCTCTCAAAGATAATCAATAGTGCTAAACTAACTGTTCAGAATATCAATTGCGTACCTTAGACCCATCGGGGGTGCCTCTTTTTTATAGTTACCTCAATCCTAGTCCTCATAGAAGATTAGCTTCAATGGACTTCTACTCAGTGTTTATCCTGGATTCTTCAACAAATAAAGATAAACTCCCTAAGAGTGTTATCCTTATCCATGGTAAAGTCCTTCCTCATTCTAGGACTCCTTGTGCCTTATCTGCTTATCCCGGATTCCGATATCTAACCTCGGCCTTGCCGAGATTACCTCGGCGTCATAACCTGGACACATGGCACCTCGGCTGACACGTCGGCGTTATCTTAGCCACGTGTTAGGACTCAGAAAATATATTTCCACACATTCCTTAATCACCCAATATAAATAATTAATACTTCATATTTTTCACTAATTATACTACTATGAAATATCACGTAACCGTATTTCCAAACCGCTGAATGATCCATAAAGTGATTTTAAAAGATTCGAAATCATCCCATATTATTATTGTTGTTA